AAAAAAGAACTCATAGTGACAAAAATAATGGTTATGGTAAGCATGAGCATTGGGGTAAAGGGGATATTTTTTAAAAAGTAGAATGGTGATTGCCAGGGCTGGGGGTAGGGGGTCATGGTTAATTATTATTTAACGGGTATAGAGTTTCAGTTTTGCAAGATGAAAGACTTCTGGAGATGGATAGTGATTATAGTTGCACAAAATACATTATATTTGATTTAAAAATAATTTAAAAATTTTTTGATTTAGTGTGGTAAAATGTACGTTGCATAAGATTAACATTTTAACTGTTTTAAAGTGTTCAATCCAGTGACATTAAGTACATTCACATTGTGCAACCCATTAAACATTAACTCTCCATTCCCCCTTCCCCCTAGTCCCTGGAAACCAATATTCTATTTTATGTCTCTATCAATTTGCCTAATCTAGGTACCTTATATAAGTGGATCATACAGTATTTGTCCTTTTGTGTCCATTTGATAGCATGTATCAGCATTTTAAAGGCTGAATAATATTCTTTTACAAGCTGAAGGTTGATGCTTAACCCACTGAGCCACCCAGTAGCCTGATCCTGAATTTTAATCAAGAGAAAATTAGATCCTGGTGAGTATTGCCTGCTGAGTTTCTCCCCATTACTCGGAAGTGGTGGTTTAGTAAACTGCATCCACATCTCTCAGGGATTAAAACTTCCTGCATCACTGGATTTGTCCTGCTTAACTTTTATACAAGTTACACACGCAAGGAAAGAATATCACTCTAATGACATGTCATATTTTTAGTTTTTATCTCTTGCTCTTCTCTACTCACTTTGCCCTCCTGAAGCCTTGTGTCCCAGTTAGGAATTTTATTCAGCTTTGAACGCCAGAGACACCACCACACAGTAACTTAAATGAAGGCATACTTTTTCTCTTGCAGAAAAGAAATCAAGAGGTAAATACTCAAGGACTGATAGGACAGCTTTATAATGTCATCAGCAATCTAGATTCCTTCTGTCTTTATGGAGTGATCTGCATCCTCATGCTTTTAGTGGCTGCCAGCGCCCTAGCCATCATGTCTACATCTCTAGGGTAAGAGAAGGAGGGGTAAGGGCAAAACAACTAGAGTCTCTTTTCAAAGAATTTTCCTGGAAGCCCCAAAGAATGGCTTCTGCTATTATAACACCTCACAGGATTGTTGTGGACACTTAATTAGATAAATTCATATTGTGAAACTGAATAAAGAAAACCTCATTTAAAAGGAGTTGGTTGGGCTGCCTGGGTTGCATAGTCGGTTAACTGTCAGACTCTTGGTTTCAGCTCTGGTCATGATTTTAGGGTCCTGAGATGGTGCCCCAACTCAGGTTCCATGTTGAGCACGGAGTTGGCTTTGGATTCTCTCTTGTTCTCCCTTTACCCCTCCTGCTCATGCTCTATCTTTCTCAAATAAGTAAATCTTTTTTAAAAATAAAATAAAATAAAATGCAGTCGGTTGGCCAGAAGGGGGAGCTCTCCCACCCTACCCCACGTCTGCAATTGCAGACCCCAACAGGAAGAGACAGTACCTTGCATTCCCAACAGGAAGATGCCTATGCTTTACTACCCGCAGGAGGAGGAAGGATTGTCTCCTTGCCCAGCAACAGCCCAGCCAATGAGGGGCTGCCACAACTCAGCCAATGAAAAACCACGGCACTTAGAACCTCCAGTTTATTCTAGTGGACTTTTTGTTTATAACAACCCCTTCCAACAACCCCCTTCCCCCTATGAAAGCACCATTCTTCTCTTTTGTTCTCTGAACTTGCCTATGGTTTTGCCATAGCTTCCATGTCCGGAATAGAATATAATTTTCTGCTATTCCCAAATAAACCTATTTTTGCTAGTAAAATAACTGAGAGTTTTTATCTTTAAGGTTAACAGTATATAGACACACTTCCTGCCTGGCATGCCCAACGGCGCTATGTAAGGGTTAGCTATCATTATTACTCATTGGCTAGAACTGTGTCACATGACCACTCAGAGAGGGAAATCGTGCCCCCTATAAAATTGGGGTCTGTTAGTAAAGAAGAAAGAGAGAAGCATATTGAACAGGCTGGTATTAGTGCTCCCACAACCTCTGTCTTATTCTTTGTAATATCCCCAGTGCCAGACACAGGAGAAGGGCTCATCAATATTGCAAAAAGAAAGAAGAAGGGAAGGAAGAAGAGAAAGAAGGAGGGAGAGAGGATGACCAAGCCAGCAAGCAGGTGACTGGCTTTAGAGAGGCAAGGTAGAATCAGTGATTAAGAGTGCAAGCCCTAGAGACAGATCCCGAGGACTCAAATCTTGGTTGGAGATTCTGTGTAACTTTGTAGGAATTACATACCTCCCAGAACCTCAGTCTCCTCATCTATAAAATGGGAATGATATCAGTTCCCACCATGAGGCATTGTTATGAGAATTAAATGAGATAGTGCTTAGAAACCATCTGCAATATAAATGCTCACAACTTTTTAAAAACATCGTTAACTTTTCTTGCGCAGCCCCTCACAAGGCTGAAAACCTGTGTGAAACCTTCATGAGCGCAGTGTCTGGTCAATAGTTTTATAGGTTCAACTCCAATTTTCTGGGGAGCAAATAAAGGACTTAAAATTTCACCATAAAGGGGCACCTGGGTGGCTCAGTCAGTTAAGCATCCAATCTTGATTTCAGCTCACGTCATGATCTCAGGGTCCTAGGATCAAGCCCAGGATTGGGCTCCCAGCTCCATAGGGAGTCTGCTTGAAAATTCTCTCCCTCTCCCTCTGCCCCTCCTCCCACTCACACGTGCATGCTCTCTCTCTCTCTCAAATAAATAAATACATCCTTTAAAAAAATTCTAAAATTTCACCATAAACTACAAAGCCACATATTGGTGTTATTAATGATAACGCAACTCATATTTTTAGTGTTAACTGCTGTAGAGACAACAGGGCAGATAAAGGTATGATCCCTGACTTGGAGATACTGACAAAATGATCAGATGTGATTGCCAGATTCATGGGTTATAAGAGAGTTACACATAATCCTGAAGGCTTAATGAAAGAAAAGGTCAGATCTTGTTTAGAAATCTAGAAAACCTTTATGGATGAGTTAGAGTTTGAGATGGCTTTCATTGAAGGCAGTGAAGGGAGGATCTGGGAGGACAGATATCCCTCACAGAGAGGACAACATGAAACAGGTCACTGAAGCAGGAAGGCAGAGAGCACCCCTGGAAACACTTTAGCTAGGAAACAGGTGAGTGGTGAGAAATACAGAGTGAAGTGTGTTGGGACCACAGTGGACTAAGAATATCAAAATGAGGAGTTTCTACAGAAGACACTGGGAAAACACTGAGCTTCTTGGTAAAAAAAAAAGTGTGACCTCAAAGTGGATCTCGTAGTGAGTGACATGTAGGATGGTATGGATAAAATGGGAGTCCACTGAAAAGGCTGTTGGCCTAATGCAGGTGAGGCTCAGCGAGAGTCTGATGGGCAGAGAAGGAGCTGTAGAAATGAAAGAAGCATTGTCCAGGCAATACTTTGAGTCACACTTCATGGACAAAAAGATGAAATTTCAAATACAGCTACAAGACTTTGATGCTGGATGAGGAGAAGGATGGTGGTTTTAACAGGCCATTCATTCATTCATTCATTCAACAAATATTTATTAAAAGCCTTTAATGAGCCAGGAACTGTTGAGGTGGCTGGGATACAGTTCTGCAGAACGGAGAGCCTGTGTCTTCCTGGAGCTAATCTTCTGGCATTCATTCTTGGTCAGGGAATGGAAGTTTGAGGAATATCTACTTTTAGGAAGAGGGGCATGAAGCACAGCAGGCAAGGGAGAAATATTCAAAGGGCAGGATAGAATGCCGTGGAGCATCATGAAGAGGAGGCTGCCAAGGTAGCCCAGTGATGACTGTTAACTGGGAACAGCCATTCCCACTGTGGTTTCCTAATCTAAACCTTAGCCTCCTAGCTGGTCCTCTGTCTCCAGTTCTTTCCCTGTCAACACTTCCTGAACAGCGCAGCCACACGAATCTCCCTAAAATGTTCCAAGTACAAATCCCTGAGGGTTCACTTTGACACCTGCCTTGCAATTTCATCGATCACTATAGCTGCTCTTAATCTCTTAAACCTTTCGCTGAAGTAAAAACGATGTTCTCCCTGTCTTTCTCATCCATTCTTGGATGGAAGCTGGATTAGACGGGGGAGAGGCCAGTAGTAGAGCCTAAACAGGCCATTGAAATAGTCCACTAAAGGTGTCCAAGGGGGCGAGAGGAAATCTTTAAGGTTTTTATGTATTCCTGTGTATGCTACTTAGAGTTGGTGCAGACAAAATAAACACTGAAGATGTTGCACAGGTTACGTAGAACATTTTTCACTGGAGACACATTTGGGAAATGTCTTCGGAAGAGCGTGGCAAACTTGAAGCCCTACAGTTTCCAACGATCAGGTAACTTGTAAATTAACCACGCAGAGAGACTATTTTGGAACTACATTGCCCATAAGGCCCCGCGCGGCGGCCCGGCGCTCCCGCGGGGCATCCTGGGAAACGTAGTCCGCGCGTTCCATAAACGGCCCACGCTCCAGCCCGCGGGGGAGTTGCCCACGCCAGTATGGCTGCGCCCAGTTGGGGCGCGTATGTTTGTTTCGAATGTGGGCCTGGGCCGGCTCGTGGGGCTGGGCTTTAGGCAGTAAGTGGGGCTGGCAGCTGGGGTTCTCGGGGTGGGGACGTGGGAGGCGCAGCGAAGCTGTGGGCGGCACGCCTGAGGACTGCGAGGCGAGGGGCTTCCGCCGCGCTTTTCTGGCGTCGGGTCAGCGGTACGGGGCCGCGGGGACCCTCTGTTTTTTCGCGCCCCTGGGCCCCGTAGTGGCGTGGAGGGCTGGAGGCCCTGGCCTCGGCCACGGTGTGGGGGAGACCGAAATCCAGACCACGAACTTGAGGCCGGACTTTCAAGTTCCATTTTTTGGTGCTTTTTTCCCTGAGGAACGGGTTGGAAAGGAATATATTGCATTTCGGCGCTTCCTGTCTCTTAGGAACTGTGCTAGGCGCTTTGCATTTCTCATCTCCAAGTGACCCTCCTCCACACTCGAGGTGAGACCTTGAGCGGGTCCTGTAGGTCCCCACAGCTAATGTTGGCATCACTGGATACATAGTGGAGGGCCTTAGGTTGGTTTTAATGGCAGTCTTTTTTTCCCAGTGAACCTCTTTCTGGCTCTTTAGCTTTGGGACCATGTACTAAACTGCTGTAAAGATTAATTTGTTCCATTTAATTCCTTTGAGTGTCATAATCTGGTACAAGAAGTGTGAGAAGCTGAGATTTCCGGAAGTGGTTGATGGTCCCCAGGCCCTTGTCAGCGCTCAGAATCTAGGATTGGCTTTGCCACCCCAGCAAGAGATGAGGTGTAAGGAGGGGTTTTCTTTCTTTTTTCACCATGCCTTTATTTAAAAGCAGCTATTATTTATTGTGAGCCAAGCGCTGTGCACCAAGTGCCTTTCTTAAAAGTCTCTCATTTGGTTTAAATGACCCTGCATGGTAGTTGGTATCCCATTTTACATATAAGAACACAGGTTAGGTAACTTGCCTGAGGTCACCCAGGTACTGTGGAGCAAGGATGAGAAAATCCAGGTCTTGCAGTCTCCAAAACCCAAACTACTGGATAAACTTTCTAATAGGTAATCCCAAGTATAAGATTGGGAGATGTGTGGAAAATTTGTTTTAAAAATAAAAGCATTTGTATAACATGTCATTTTTTTTTAAGGGTAGGCTCTAGTTTCACAATGTTTGGGGATCTATTTGAAGAAGATTATTCCAGTGTGTCAAATTATCAGTATGGAAAAGAGAAGAAATTAAAGACCAAAGCTTTGGAGCCACCAGCTCCTAGAGAATTCACCAATTTAAGCGGAATTAGAAATCAGGGTGGAACCTGTTACCTCAATTCCCTTCTTCAGACTCTTCATTTCACACCTGAATTCAGAGGTATGCTGTGTTACATGCTTTTGATTAGTAATATGTACCCTTATCTCTACATGTAATCAATTAGGCAAAATTACAAATTATCTTAAAGGTGTATTCCCCAGTATGCGTTTATTGTTGCTAATGTAAGAAATGCTAATTTTCTCTGTAGGGAAATGTGAAGCTTAAATTAAATATATACTGTGCAAGCATAGTAATTTTTAGTAACAAAAAATAAGGCAATCGATTTCTTTTCTAATTCCTGTAATTTAAAATACAACATAAAGAATTTTGCCAGCCTTCGTTATTGTTATGCTATTTTTTTTTTTAGTTTTAAAATTTCTCTAAAGTAATAAACACTCCAGCCAGAGTTACCCAGAACAATTCTGTCCTGCCTTTTGGAGTGGGGACGGGGCGTCACATTATTTATACAGTCCACAATCATTTATCTGCAATTCGGAAATCCAGAATGTTCCGACACCTGATCTGAACTGGTTTGGCATCAGAACCTGACCTGATATGAGGCTGTTTATAGTCTTAGTTATCTCACTGGGGTGGATATTCATACATTTATTACAGCAATATTAACTCCTTGATTAATGGATACTCTTTATCCCAAACCCTGCTGGGAATGTAATGTTAACATACTGTGACCCTTTCTTCATATTACCTTTCTAAAATCTGCAAAGTCCGAAGGCCCAAGATGTCAGATAAGGGACTATGTATAAGAAACAGAAACCCACTTGTATCAGCTCAATTAAAAGGCGGATTTACTGTAAGAATATAGGGGAATCTCCTTGAGACCACTACAGGAAGCCAGCCTGACCTCATTGGAGCCTTGATATCTTGCCCCTGTTTTTCTCTCTGTTTGTCCCATTCCCACCTCTGCAAACTAGCTTCCTCCACAAGGGTCTTAGTCTCTTTGATCCCTTGATTTCAGTATGAACATTACCTTTACATGGCCCTGACTGGGGCCTTCAGCCACAAAGCTGCATGACTGGCTCAGCTCTCCACAGTGTCTCCTTATACTGAGGACAGACAACTTGGCTCATCCTGTATCCAGTATCTCATCCGTCTTCCCATCACTACGAAATTTGGCAAATTTTTTGACATTTTCTGTTTGCTTCTAAGTTTAGAAAGACTTCCTGCCTCCAGAGATTTAGTAAATATTTACCATTATCCCCTCCCCAGGGCCATTCTAATGGATTAAGCTGCATGTGGAATTTCAGAATGGTGGCATTTGTCCTTGACGCCATCCCCTCCGTAAAAATCTCTCCCTAACGTATTCAGTTATTCCACTGTTAGAAATTTTCAACATACGTTTCAACAGATTACTAGGGAGAGTTAAATTTTTCCAAGTTTTAATATAGTTGAAGTAGCAAATTAGCCTTAAAAGAGACTGAGAAAGGTGATTGGTGGGCAAGCGGTCCAGGTTATACAGAGGGCCACTGAGCAAGGTTAGGGCTGAATGGAGAAGGCTACCGAGCAAGAGCCCAGGCCATCTTACTCTCAGCAAAGGAGATCGCTGGCCAAGCACGTGGGCTTGTATCTTAATGTGGGCTGTGCATTCCATATAAGGCTTCGTAGGAATCCTGATGCTTATTGAAGGGGAGATATAATTTAGAAGGGGTAAGAATTGGCAGAGTACTGGTGGGGAGAATTCTGGAACTTTTTGGGATGGTATCTTGAGTAGGGCTGGATTGGGTTCCACTGTACTAGTCAGGGTGGCTGAGAGTACTGGGTAATAATTGTAAAAGTCCTTGTATGGTTTTATGCTTTAAGCTTTATGTTTGTAGTTCATTTCTTCTCAGTTCCTGCCAGGAGCTTAGGAGGAATATAACATTCATAACCAGGGCAGCGGGGTTTTCAGAGGGACACAGTACCCATCCCATCCCTTCTCTCCCTAGAGTAGATCAAAGTTTCGTAGTAGGAGTTCACAGCTGGTTTGAATACAGACTTCCCGTAAGATTCTGATACGCCCTAGTGAGTGGCATGCGTAGACTTGGGAGTATAAAACAATTGTGGAGACTGGCCCTGGGTTACCAACTTATTGTTCCAGGTAAGGTCACTACCATCTGTTATTACCCTTAACACAGAAAAGACATTCTTATACCAAAAAAAGTAAGGGCGTTGAGAGTTAAAGGTGACCTTTCTCTCGAAAGGATGGTTGGAAGCCTCACATGTGGCTTGTGAATGAACACACATGACACTATTTCATATTGTATATTTCCCCATGTGGCTTTTGGGACCCACTGTCATAGGCAATAGGAAGCCATCAAAGATTTCTGATGTTACCGTTTTTACTTTTATAAGCATAGTTTTCCTTTTATAGATCTTCTGTACTGAAACCTGAGCATGCCACTTTATATTGAGTCGGTGGTTAAAAGTAATGTCATCAGGAAGTAAAATGGGTAGAGTAACAGTGTAAATACTGCCACAGTCATGCTTCTGAATCTTTAACTGATTTTATTTACTGGAGGCTTTGGCTTTCTAAAACACTTCGTTAAAATGAAATAACATCATTTATATCTCTGATTCTATGTTTTATTTAGAAGCTTTATTTTCCCTTGGCCCAGAAGAGCTTGGTTCATTCGAGGATAAGGATAAACCTGATGCAAAGGTATTAAATCTCTGATTTACAGGGTCTTTTTTTGGAGTATTAAAGAAATGTCTTTTAAGGAAGGAACTGAGTTCCTTATTCATAGAAATTCATAATTTGATTAATTACCAAATATTAATCTTTATTTTCAAGAAGTGACTTGGCCTATATGCGGGACTGAATGGAATCTTCTTTTCAAAAAAGAATTACTTCAAATATAGTGCTGGTACTGCTTTATAGACCTAGCTTGGTCAAGAAGGTATTTGTAACTGACCCACACTACCCTACCAGGAAATCTACTTAATGCACAGATTTGTAACAACAACTAAAAGTAGAGACTGGTGTTCTTTCAGTTTGATATTCTGGAAATAAGCTGAGTGAGGAATTGGTTTATTATAAGTACATATCTAATCTTCTTCCTGGCTTTAAATACCATTCAGAAGTTTATTGCTTTCAGGCTAAAATCTGCGTTTCTTAATAGGAGTCTTCTGTGGGGTGGGTGGGTGGCTCAGTCGGTTAAGCATCTGCCTTTGTCTCAGGTCATGATCCCAGGGTCCTGGGATCGAGCCCCACATCGGGCTCCCTGCTCAGTGGGGAGCCTGCTTCTCCCTCTGCCTGCCTGCCTGTCTGCCTACTTGTGATCTCTCTCTCTGTGTCAAATAAATAAATAAAATCTTTTAAAAAAAGTCTTCTGTAATCTGGCCCAGCTCTTCTCAAACCACCTGTGCTGCAAAGAGCCAATTTTTGTGTATTTCCTTTTCTTCCCAGTCTCTTGCAGATCATAGTCTAATGTCAAATTGCCATAGAAGTGTCTAAAGTCTTATTCTTGCTTTATACATGAAAGTCCAGTCTGCCCACAAGGCTCTGAGCATCCTTCTCTGCCTGCCCTAACCCTCCCCACACCAGATAAAGCAGGAAGACCATGAGGCAGGTGCATCCAGCTCTCTGAGGTTTCCAGACTCCACAGCAAGTGAGAGTCGTGACTGGAATTTTCCTCACAGGGAGTGTGTCTCTGAGAGGTTTCAGAGAAGGAGTGAACTAGCAGAGACTGAAATGGTTGGCAGCAATCAGTCGGGTGGTTTCTTAGGGCCTACGGGGGTGTTCGTATTGATCTGTACTGTGTCAAAGTAGAAAACTCCAGATAGCTAAAACTTTTTGGATTGAATTAGAATTTTAGAAGAAAAGTGAATCTTACTTCATCCTGTGTAGTAGTTTTAAACTTCCTCCAGATTGAACTGAATGAACTAGGAAAGAGGAGAAAACTAGTTGGCAGTTCTTTTAAAACACCCCAACTGATGTGAACAGATTTCATTTAGAAATGCATCTGCTTCTCGATCAGGTTCGGATCATACCTTTACAGTTACAACGGTTGTTTGCCCAGCTTCTGCTCTTAGACCAGGATGCAGCATCCACAGCAGACCTCACTGACAGCTTCGGGTGGACCAGCAATGAGGTACGAAGATCAGCTTCTCCAAGAAACAAAGTTACCAGCAATAAAGAGTAAACACTGGTTTAATAACATTATCTAACTTCCGTTAATTTTGTCTTAGGGTCTGAAGAAATAGTTTAAATATTTACTTCTCATGTTTAATAACTACAAGCCAGAGGTATATTTCTAGACACTTGCCCTGTGCAGGATTTTATGAATGGGTATGATTTGGCATGGGAGAGAGGGTTGTAGATAGAGGGAGAAGTAGAAGAACTGGTTTTTACGATTTCTACCCTTTATATAGTCTAGTTGGGATACAACATCTACTACATACAAATTACCATTTATATAACAAACTGCTAATCAGCTCAAAAAGCTGACTGGCAATAATTCTGTCTGCCTTTATGACGTGCTTTTGTGTTTGGGTCTGGGTATTCTCATTGGAACACTCGCTTCAAGCAAAAGGGTAAAAACATTCTTGGCAGGTCTTTGCATTTTCCCTGTCCTGCTTTTCTCCAGACTCTTTTCATTTTCTTCCTGTATCTTCCTGTGTGTGGACGTTCTCTGATTTTCTGTTGGAGTTTCTAAAGAGTACTTCACTATATGCAAACACTGAACATGTCAACAGTGAGTAAAGGTGCTTGTTGTCAATATTGATGAGCTGCGATTTTTTTTATGGACTACATGTATTCTTGAAAGAGAGAGGTGTGGGAGACTATCACAGAATTTAAAGAGGCAATGACCAGAATAATGTTATATTGCTTTCAAAGTAAACTTTACAGTGTGGTCTTCTAATGAGGAACACTCCTAAACCAGACAAGGTCGAAGAGGTAGGGCTTAAGCTTTGAAGAAAATGGGGTATCACACAGTTAAATTTCTGGTGTAGGGCAGGTGCTTAGGGTTAATTCCTTGTTCCTTCCTTGTTTTAAAAATGGCCTCTCTGTTGAGATACAATTCACATGCCATAAGATTCACTCTTCAGGGTACAAGTCAGCATTTGTTCAGTATATTCACAGAGTTGTACAACCATCATAACAGTCAATTTAGAACATTTTCATCACCCCAGAAAGAAACCCCATACCCATTGGCAGTCACTCTCCCCCCACCCCAGACCCTGGCAACCACTCACCACCTTTCTACCTTCCCAGATTTTCCTTTTTTGTGAATTTCACAGAAATAGAAATAGAATTATACGATATGAGATCTTTTTAAACTAGCTTCTTTCACTTAAAATCATGTTTTCAAGATTCAAGCATGTTGTAGTATGAATCAGCACTCCATCCCTTTTTATTGCCAAGTAACATCCTGCTGGAGGGATAGGCCACATTTTTTTTAATCTCGTCATCAGCTGATGGATTTTCGGTTTTGATCATGAGCTTCCACTGAGTTGCTGATTTCATACTCTTAAAGCAGTGAAAACCTTATTTATTAATCTCTAAATAAAATCTCTCAGGAAACCTGCTAGGATTGGTAGAGAGGGACTCAGAGACACCTTTGCCAAACTTAGAATTGTTCAGAAACAGAGCTTGAAAACTTGCACAGGTTCCCTTCAGAGGCAGTGATACAGGAGAAATTTAGTCTAAGTCTTGTATGTTAAAAAACAAGAAAAAAGATCCTGAGGCCCACTTCTTGCTCCAGCTTTCATCCACTTTATCAGCTTCTTTTCACATGACACTTTTCTTTAAAATTGTCTTCCCTCATGGTCTCTACTTCTGCACCTTTCATTTGTTCATATACCTCCTTTCTGCCTTTCTTGTCAAAGTCACTCATGACATCCATGTGCCAAGTTCTAGGAGAGACTTCTGTGCTCTCAGCGGGCTCGCAGGGGCACTCACCACCCCTCCCCACCCCCCACCCCATCAAAGCCCCAGCTTCCACTTGTTCCTTCTTTGTTTTAAAAATGGCCTCTCTGTTGAGATACAATTCACATGCCATGAGATTCATTCTTCAAGGTACAAGTCAGCACTTGTTCGTGACCTCATCTCCCAGTCCCCCCCCAACCCCCCACTGCTCTTCCTCCTCTGCTCCACTTCTGAGTGTTGGTGTCCCCCTTGGCTCTGGTTTATCAGTCGTTCTTAAGGCATTCAGTGTGTTCTCATACAGTCGCATGACTCGTGGTGGAGTGAAGCGAGTGCCATCAGAATTTTTCTCATCTCTGTGTTACGTGGTTTATATCTGTAAGGAGTAAATTCTGGTTCTTTTCAAATGCTGATAATTCAGATCCCCTGATGTAAGTGAGATGTTGCCAGCTCTGAGAGACTGCTCTGTGCCTGTTGTGTTCTTCACTCCTCTGCTTCTGTGGTGTGGCCATGTGTGTGGTTTCCCACACGAATAAAAGCACTTTCCTGTTGCAAGTGAGTTGAGTTATATGTGCACCCTGAACACCACCTGTTCATATTTCATTTTGGAGCGAAACTAAGAGCAGTGGTGATCTCGTAACCTGATCTCGGTTTGTTTAGCTTAGTCATCCTTAATATTTGATCAAGGCTTACCTTTGGATTTCTAGACAAATCTTGTGTTTTGTAACCAATACCATTTTAAAAATCTGTTTTTAAGAATCTGAAGCACAAAATGACATTTAAAAGTTACCTGTTTTATAGGAAATGAGGCAACATGATGTGCAGGAACTGAATCGAATTCTCTTTAGTGCTTTGGAAACTTCTTTAGTCGGGACCTCCGGCCATGACCTCATCAATCGTCTGTATCATGGAACCGTTGTTAACCAGGTTGTTTGTAAAGAGTGTAAGAATGTCAGTGAAAAGCAGGTGAATATGCAAGTGTCTTGTAGTAATAAGTTATATCGTAAGTTATAACGCACATAATTAAATCTGTGATCTGTAACACCATGTGAGGAGCAAAGTGTTTATTACTAGAAATAACCTTATCAGGTTTTTTTTCTTTTACTCTAACTACACTTCAATCCTAAATTTATAATCCAGATTTCTTCATATAAACTGAAAGAAGCAAATGTCTTAAAGCATAGCTTTAATCTTTTATTCAGTTCTCTGATATTCAGAAAATAAATTTGGGAGATGTTTATAGGTAGAGGTCTGTGCCCTCATGAGAAAAGCCAGTATCATGGTTGGTGGGAGTATTGCAACCAAAGTTAATTAAAGAAGTAATAAAAATAGGGAATACTAAGGAATGTTTACATTGATAAACATGTATAATTAAATACTGGATTTCGTTTATTAATGTCCTTCAGAAAGTTCATTTGTACGTGTGTGAGGTTATGTTGTCCATTTAATCTCATTGGAAATTAGAAATCGGAAATTTACTGATGAAATAGAATAATCTCCGCATGCTCTATAAATTTTGTACAGCACATGATTGCATCACTGAACAGTTGTCCCTTAATGAAAATCTCCTTTTGTTATCGCAAGAGTTATAGAAAATTGCTGTGATTGACTGTGGGTTAAAAATCAAATGCCATTTTCTAAATTTTGCATTAATTGCTTTTTTGGATACATATATATATATTCTTTTTCTGCTTTTTATGAAAGACTTGGGAATAAAAAATACTTTTTGGTCCTTTTGCCTGTGCTACTAGAGAGTTTGGTCAACCTAGTTTGGAAATATTAAGACGTTGTGTGTCTTTGGATTACCATATGATTGACTTAACTATACTGTAATAATTCACAAAGAAATTTCAAGAAATAATGTATATGAAGGCACATAATTATCAACTTTAACTTTTCATACATACATATTATAAACTGTATGTGTTGCTTGTATTTAGATTTCCACCACGAACTAGTTAGAACTCATTATTTTACAGTCCCTGTAATAACCCTTTAGAGTAATGCTAGTGCACACACACACAAAACTGAATGGTTTAAACTTGTCAGATTTTAAGTGTTTATTACTATAAGTAAATTATAATTCAGATGTAGTTAGAGTCAATAGACTCCTGTTTGCAAAATGCTCTCCTCTTAATTTTTATAAAAATACCTTTTAATCCTGGCTCAAAACAATTTTTTTCTTACAACTTCCTTAGTATATCTTAAGCCAGCCCTAGCAGAAGAAGAGGAGGAAGTGGGGTTTACACTAGAGACTCCAGCCCTGTCCATGACTAAGACAGAACTGATAAGCACCACATACTTACCAGTTCAGATGTGTGTTCGGTGGTTTGTTTTAGTTCCTGCTAAAATAGGTTTGATTATAGCTACAACGAACTTAAGAAAATCCTGATGTATTCTTAAGCCAAATTATAATTTGTTTTAGGGTAATTTTGTGTGATCAATTTCACAGTATCTGATTGGGAGGTCTATACCTTCACACATACGGTGTTTCAAGGAAAAGTTACTGTTATTCCCAGTATATGTGGGAGTTGGTGATGTGTTCGTGAACCACTGTGGAATTGTTTTTTCAATATTATATTCATGCGTATTTCAGGAAGACTTCTTAGATCTAACAGTAGCAGTCAAAAATGTGTCAGGTTTGGAAGATGCCCTCTGGACCATGTATGTAGAAGAGGAAATGTTTGACTGTGACAACTTATACCACTGTGGGACTTGTGACAGGCTGGTTAAAGCTGCGAAGGTAAGACAGATACCTGCCTTCTCCCAGGGGCCCACTCAGTACTTGGTAGCATGAAGGTTTGCCAGGTGAAGTCCGCTTGTATGAGAAAGTCTGGAAGATACACATGAACCTCTTAATTGCAGCTAAGGATTGAAAAGACAGTTAACTTTCTACATATATCTGTATTTTAATTTTTTGCAATCAAGAATGTTTTTAAACTTTCAACCCAACAGGTCTCTCAACTTCTTCCTGTCCCAGGAAAAATTTATGTGTACTTCAGTGTTTCTTAAATGTGCCTTTTTTTAAAATAAACTCCCCTGTTCTGCTCTAGGAACAAGTAACCAAGTTGTTTGCAAACTTGGTTTTGCAAACTTGGTTTGCAAAAAAGTTGGTTTGCAACTTGGTTTGCTTTTTGCAAACTAACATAAGGAAGAAGGCAATGGATTTTTATTTCTGCCAAGAAGCTCATTGAGCTTTCCTTTCTTTGCTTAGTACTGCAAAAACAGCTTCGTTTTCTGCACATGGAGTTACTTTACAATATTGATAGGTACACCCTCCCTGACTAGCAAGTCTAATACGCCCCTTCTGCCTCCCCCAGTGGGGATTCTCATCTTGCCGATTAAAGGGCCTGATAGGGTACCTGTGGGTTTCTTACTCAGGGATGAGAGGAAGGCAAGCCTTAGTAACTTAACTATTCCACTGCTGCTGGATGATGTGATGGGCTCTCCAGTCGGTGGTTAGTGGGCACCGGCTTGTAGAGCTCCCACAAAAGATGGGTCTTTGTAGTTACCTGTAACAGAGAGCACCGTTCCTAGAGCTGACAGTTACTGAATTTTCCAACAAACAGAATGAGGACTGATTCACAGAACATACCATATCGATTTAGATCCTGGAGGTTGTAGGGGAGAATGTTAAAAAACACTCCATGCCGGGCGCCTGGGTGGCTCAGATGGTTAAGCGTCTGCCTTCGGCTCAGGTCATGATCCCAGGGTCCTGGGATCGAGTCCCACATCGGGCTCCCGGCTCAGCAGGGAGCCTGCTTCTCCCTCTGACCCTCTCCCCTCTCATGCTGTTTCTCTCTCACTTGCTCTCTAAAAAATAAAATCTTTAAAAAAAAAAAACCTCCATGCCTGTAGCTTTCACAATAGGATTGGAAACCAGGGTAATTTTACACTGTTTAATGTGTATTTCCATCCCAACTTTGCCTTTTTGTGACACGCAAATAGGTTTATCTTTCGCTTATCGATTTTGCATTTCACCTTTGGTGTTAAAACTGCAATCTAATAAATATAAAATTCAGAAGATGAAAAGTCTTGGAAGGATACTTAAATACATTCTTAATTTTGGTTGAACTTATTTGCACATTAATAAAACAAGAACCTTTAGCTCAACGAAAGCAGTTCTTGGCGTGTACTTTTTATGTTATTGGTTTAATTCTTTTTCAGTGGAAATTTTTTCATCTCAATACTTTTAAAATTGCATCCTAAATTTCCATTTGTTGTGCTACCTAAATTAATGTAGGTTTTCTTACTCTGAGCAGACTTTTCTCAGCTGTAGTATAGATGAGATACTTGGGTTTTTTAGATATATATATTTTTTAACATGTTGGAGAATCTGCCGTGTTACATTGCTGTTTTTTCACTTAACTTTTTTTTAACCCCCAATTTGTGGAATTGTTTTAAATTTCTTTTTAGGAATGTTAGATATTTATATGTAAGGATAATATTATAATTAAGGACAATTTTATAGATGGAAAGGATTTTTTTGCCACCCCATACCCAACATACCATTAGTGTTAAGAGGTTGGGAAGCTGATGACTTTTAAATAAAACGCAGCATCATCTAGCATTTTGTTTTAAAGCAAGGAAATAAAAAAAACCTTTTTTACCTGCTTTTAAGGACAGTCATTATAAAACCCCAATCAATGGGTCTTAACATTTGGGGAGTAAGAGCCTTTTGAAAGTCTAATGAAAACTGTGGATCTTCTCCCCATAAAAATACAAGTACGCAGACCATGTAATTTCAAGGGTTCAGATCCACTGAAATAGGTCCATAGGTCCCAGGTGAAGAGCTCCAGTCCTTCAGTAAATAAAAGGACCGTGTGCTAGGCCAAGTGGAGGCCCCGAGGAGGCCAGGACTCACACAGGGAAGGAGCAGTGTTAAAAGGGGGAGCACCAGTTACAACACGCTTGTTGGATAGCTTCGATGATAGGATATCAACACTAAAAACATGAACTTGGGTTGTAAATTTTTAGTTGTTAACATAAATGAGCAATATCACTTTTAGTCCCATAAAAGAGATGAATTCATATCAAGAGCTGACTTGAATCCAAGATGATGAATTTATGTGATTGAAGGATACGTTTCTCTTAAAACTGCATCACAGGTTGCTTTTTCATATCTTAAGAAACATTATGTATTCTTTTCTATAACTCTGCTTTTAAAACAACTGTAAAAATTTTTCTTTCAACAGTCGGCCAAATTACGTAAGCTGCCTCCCTTTCTTACTGTTTCATTATTAAGATTTAATTTTGATTTTGTGAAGCGTGAACGATACAAGGAAACTAGCTGTTACACGTTCCCTCTCCGGATCAATCTCAAGCCTTTTTGTGAACAGGTTTGAATTATTTTATTGTGAAATTCTTTCTTTTCTCCTCTCAAGATAGGGTCTTTTATTGGCCTCATTTTCGGTTGGCTTATTGCAGAATCTTTCAACCTGGCACAGTTAATATTTTGAGTTGAGTAATTCTTTGTTGTGGGTGCTGTATCCCATGCATTGTAGGGTTGTAAGCTGCATCCCTGGCCTCTGCCCGCTAGATGACAATAGCATCCCACCCTCCCACCCCACCCCCAGTAGTGACAAAAATGTCCAGACCTTACCAAGTGTCCGTGTCTCCTGGGGGAGAGCGTGGATAAAATCAGTCCCAGCTGAGAACTGCCGGTTTATTACAGTCCTTTTGAGTTTCCAAAGTACAGATTTGTTCTCAGTTCTTTTTATTAAACTCTCCTTGAAAAATCTTTGAAAAGAAAACTTAAGAACAAAATTAGAAATGACCCAGCATTAGGAGAAATGACCATTAATTAGTACCTTATTATTTGGATTTAGTTTACATGAGATGCAATAATGAATTACACATCTAGAAAGTGAATAGGTGATTGGAACTTTGCTAGAATTTATAATCTTTGAGATACAGGAAGGAAAGTTTTGAAAACACATTAATTATGCAATGTCCTTCATAAGCCATTTTAAAATATTTTCTATACAATCGCTGTACATGCCAAGATCAGAGTCATGAGACTCCTGCATTTCTTTTTTTTTTTTTGATTTATTTATACATGAGAGACAGAGAGAGAGAGAGAGAGGTAGAGGGAGAAGCAGGCTCCCAAGGAGCAGGGAGCCCGATGTGGGACTCGATCCCAGGACCCTGGGATCATGACCTGAGCCGAAGGCAGACGCTTAACC